ACCTAGGTTATTCTGGGAATTATATTCCCCCCACTGATTATGCTCCTGGACTTCCGAATTGGGGAGGACACTTCTTATCAAAAACCTGGAGAAAAAGAAGAGGGAAAAGACAAGGACGATGATGCAAAGTCCAGCAAGGTCAGAGTTTATGCTGATGATTAGTTTCACATTCTGTTATTGCCATGATGAAAGATGACAAGACTTTGCATTTATGTTGTAGGACCCTAACAACGACGGGACTTCCCGCAAAGGAGATGAGGAGGAGGGCAATGCTAATGTGCGCAAAATTCCTATTGCAAAAAGGTTCTTTGAATTTTATGATGCCCCTTTTACCAAATTCTGGTTCAACACCGTAAGTTCAACTAAAACTTACTCAAAGATCAAACATATTAAAAGTTTCTGAATAAAGATTATTTTAAATATTTATTCTTTCCCCATTAGATTTCCTATCTGGGTTATTTGATGTTGTATAATTACATCATCCTTGTGAAAATGGAGCGATGGCCATCTATACAAGAGTGGACAGTCATTGCATACATCCTCACTCTTGGCACAGAAAAAGTTCGACAGGTGCTTAAATGGCCCTCCTAAAAAAATTTGAATATTTAAACATTGATTGGTTCAATGTTAACTTGTAAATCTTGGTGTCTAGATACTGATGTCAGAACCAGGAAAGCTGAAGCAGAAGATAAGTGTTTGGATGGAAGACTACTGGAACATCACAGACCTTGCTGCCATCTCTACCTTCCTTCTGGCGCTGATGCTGCGGCTTCAGCCGGAACCATACATGGGCTATGGCAGAGTCATCTACTGCATAGATATCATCTTCTGGTATATTCGTGTGCTGGACATCTTTGGAGTCAACAAGTATCTGGGACCATACGTAATGATGATAGGGAAAATGGTAAACATGGTGACATCATACAGAATCTTTCCAGGTATAAAAAGAGCAAACTGAGCTCAAGTGTGTTTGCTTCTTTTTCCTTCAGATGATTGACATGATGTACTTTGTCGTGATCATGCTGGTGGTACTGATGAGCTTTGGCGTGGCTCGGCAAGCCATCCTTCATCCAGATGAGGAGCCGACGTGGCGCCTGGCCAGGAATATCTTCTACATGCCCTACTGGATGATCTATGGGGAGGTTTTTGCGGACTCGATAGACCGTAAGACTAGAATTCATAGTAAGATTCTGTTTCCTGATTCTGGGCAGATGATCAGTGTCTTTTAAAATTTCAGTAAAGTTGACACTTCGTTGTGTACAAAATGGTACACTCCATACTTTGGCTCCCTCTGCTGGCAGATTTGTGACAATTCTTATGGCATTTATGGCAATAATGCTGCATAGAACAGGAACAGAACAGACAATACATGTCTTCTCACTAACAATCATCAGCCATTAAGATTTGTTTTTTTGTGAAAACTGCTTCTGTCAAGTTGAAGACATCAATACACAGTCAAAATTAGCAATCAGCAAATAACATGTAATGTTTTTTAATTATTTAAACCCAGTAATGACAAAAAAAAATATGTATGACATAAATTTCAAAAAAAGAAACATTTAGTTTGCACATTTGCTCAAGCATTTTCCTGCAAAAATAATTTTAGCAGTATTCTGTAAATGTTTAACAGTTGTGGAGAGCTATATATATATATATATATATATATATATATATATATATATATATATATATATATATATATATATATATATATATATATATATATATATATATATATATATATATATATATACCGTAATGCTTTCATATTCTTTTCCAAAAAAGAAGCTGGTCTTGATTTCTGGAATTTCTATTCTTAACTAATATGCTTTGTTCTCCTCTGCCTATGACATTGATCTCAAAATCATTAAGGTCAAATATTTGCTCACGCTGTGACACAAGGCTGTAGAAATGTTTGTCACCTGGAATAAACCTAATTTAGAAACTCAATGAATGAAGACTGTCTGACTGTTAAAACTCTGCTGATGCATATGCTTTCAATTAATCTTTGGTTTATAAAATTTAAAAATTATTATGTTGCTGCTGTATATTGCTAATTTAAACTGTTAACTAGTTATGTGATTTAACTCAAAAATGTCAGTTAAACATCATGCAAGAACATTCATAAACACTCAATTTGATGGAAGTGCTTTAGTGTGATTTTTTTCTTTTTCATATACCAACTTCACCTTGACAGAAATCAAAAACACGATTTCTTTTACATTGATTTTAACTTTTTCTCTGTTCTTCTGCAATTGTTTCTTTGTATTTTCATAAGTCTATGCAATGGAAATTAATCGTAAGTAGTCTTTAAATCATGGATTCTCATATCTAATCAGTTTGCTGCTGAACTTTGTTTAATAGCAAAGCTAATTTTCACACCTCTCTCCTCACAGCTCCGTGTGGAGAACATTTATATGACGAAGATGGGAAAAAGCTTCCTCCATGCATCCCTGGTGCATGGCTCACGCCTGCAATTATGGCTTGTTATCTTCTCGTGGCAAACATCCTTCTGGTTAACTTGCTCATTGCCGTCTTCAAGTAAAAAAAAAAAATAAAAATAAAAAATAAAAAAGATTGACTAACTGAAACATCTTCAAAGTTAAAATGACAGTCTTTTTTTTTATCTTTTCTATCTTAAAGCAACACTTTCTTTGAAGTCAAGTCCATCTCCAACCAGGTCTGGAAGTTTCAAAGATACCAGCTAATCATGACTTTCCACGACCGCCCTATCCTGCCTCCGCCTCTCATCATCCTGAGTCACCTCTACATCCTCTTCAACAGGCTTTTCCGGCGTTGTGTCAGGAAAAATAAGGAAGGAGAGCTTGATGAGAAGGATCGGGGCCTCAGTTAGTTTCCTTCATTTGAACAAAATTAGGAACATCTTGTTTTACCAGAAAATATTTCTGTTGATTACGTTAAAGTTCTGACTAATTTTGTGTTCTAATGTTTCTTGCAGAGCTCAGACTAAATCCAGAGGAGCTAAAAAATCTATATGAGTTTGAGGAACAGTGCGTGGAGGAATATTTCCGGGAAAAGGAAGACGAGCAACAGTCTTCAAGTGATGAACGCATCAAGGTTACTTCAGAGAGGTAAAATGCATTCTCAGTTGTACTTTTTGTACTTCCAATTACAGCTGTTTTATGCTCCCTCTCTCATCTTACCTGCAGAGTTGAGAACATGTCAATGCGTCTGGAGGAGGTCAATGAAAGGGAGAACACCATGAAAGCATCTTTGCAGACAGTAGACCTGCGTCTGGCCCAGCTGGAAGAGCTGCACGGACGTATGGCTTCTGCACTGGAAAAGATTGCAGGGCTGGACAAACTGGAGCTAACCAGAACCTTCTCTAGAAACTCATCTGTGTGTGATCATTCCACTCTTCTCCGGCAGGGCAGTATTAACAGCGCAGATGGCTACAGTCTCTACCGCTTCCATATGGACATGGAAGAGTTTGCGACAAGGCAGAAGGACACGGATGAGAAAGTAGGCCTAGAGAGAGAGCGGAGTGTCCGTCAAGCCTCGAGCACTTGTGCTCTCAACGTAGCACAGACGCTAGAGGTTGGTGGTTTGGAGAGATCGCGACCCAGCTCATGTGTGGACATTCTCATATCTCCATGTGAACAGAAGCTTTCATCTGGGGCTTCAAGCCAAGAGACCATAACCAACATAAAGCAAGGCAGCACAATGTTTCTGGACAAACTGTCAGACCAAAACAGGTTAAAACCTTTATCGCCTGCCAAAAGGGCAAAGTCCCTGAAATACTTCCCTGCTGAAGACCATCCCTCATCTCCTTTAACAAAGAGAAGATCTAGGAGCACCATCACTGTCCACCCTCCTGATAAACCAGAGAAATCTGTTGAGCCTACAACGGAAGCAAAACCTCTGGAAGCGCCTTCCTCTTCTCCAAGGAGGGCAAAATCTTTAAGAGATCTTCCAGTTGAAAGCCAAATGTCTCCCATCTCTAGGAAGAGGGCTATCAGCAGCATCATCTATGATCCAGTTGAAGCAGGTTATACAACTCAAACACCAGCAGATTTAAAACATCAGGTCCATCCTAGTGGAAAAGCATCATCAGTCAAAACCCTCGCTCAGCAGTTTCAAACTGCTGCTTCACCTGAAGAGTTAGAAATGAATCACACAAATGTAGTTCCTTCAGATAGTGAGATAGGACAAACAGAAACGGCGCAAGACGAAGACCGCAAAATAACAAAGCCCAAAAGACACCCCTCGGATGGTACCGACTACCTGACTGTAGCCGATGAAAGGTATATGCGGTCTCACAGGTCAAAGAGCTGCAACGCCAGCGACAGAAAAGTAAAGCCCATGGTGTTCTTAAAAGAGCCAAGAGCCTCCAGCAGTGAGCGAGATCTTACCGAAGCAAGCAGAGAGTCATCCCTTGGACGGGAAGAAGACATGAAGATGATGAAGGTGGGAAAAACAGAGGAGGGTTTGCAAGACAAGAAATAAAAGCAATCAAGAAAAAACACTTGGATTATAAAACCAAGACAAGAAATAGATAGTGATGGTAAAATTATTTGTTAAATGTTAATGGGTTGAAGAAAAATCACAAGACATTTCTAAAGATTTTTTTTTCCTTTACTGCTGCTCTTTTCTGTGGGTGTAACATATGAAAACTTACAAAGACTACCAGTCACATCACAGCTTTTTTTCCCAATTATATGTTTTCATGGAGAGGAAATGTGAATGAAAATCTACTAAATATTGTCGGTTTCAGTAAAAAGAACATAAGAAAAATACATGCATATACATTGTGAACAGCAAAACATTCTATATATGGTTGACATTTTCAAATACTATCTGTAAACACTTTCTTTTGTCAGATACTGTGTGCTTAGTAATGAGCCCTCATTGGCATCTCCCTACTGCTTTCATGCAAAAACAATACACTTGTATAAATAACACTGTGAATTCAATCCTGCTTCTGAGAAAAAAAACACTCCTTCCACAGTTTCCTTTTGACACTGAAACATCTATAAATGTAGGTTCCATGAAAAAAAATAAATAAATATTCTAATACAAGTTGCTTTTCTATGCTTATTTTTTTCTATTCTAATTTCTATCACAATTCTCCTTAGCAGCAAAACTAATGTCAGTGCAACATAAGGCCAAAAGCTTGGTAACATACATAAACTTCACAGACACATACAATCAATGCTTAAACCTGATATCTCAAAGCATCTTCATAGGAATTCTTGTAATAGGTAGTATATATCTTATAAAAATGGTGCTACAGTATGTAAAATAATAAGACAACAATGTGCAACCTATGTATTTTTATATTATAAATGGGAGCAGAAAAATTGCCCACTGCAAGCAGACACTGCAGGAAAAGCTACAAACCCCTGCACAAGTCTTTTGTATGAACAGACACAAAGTATTAGGCCTTCAGTCTCCATCGATACTCTTCTGATCAGCAAATCAGGGCAGCATCTCGACTGCCCAAGACCTCAGGTGGCAGTAAGACCGCGTGTGCAAGAGCAGTGCTGCTGCAGCGAGGAAGTCCGACAGGAAGGAGTCCTCTAAAATAAGCAAGGTCACGATAGAAATGTGACAACTGTCCGCCTGTTGCTTAGAGAAGTGAACACTTGAAGAATTTAATTCTCTTTGACTTCTTATCGGTAATCTTCACCGGTTTTCCAGTTCCTCCACCACTACTGTCAGTCTACCAGTCAAAGAAGCAACAAATTGCACGTTATTAAGAAAAACAGCAGCATCTTTTTTTAAGAAAGTCTTCACTACCTACCGTCTTTGAGCACAGATTGTTCAATATGTCTCTTGCAATAGTATAAAAGGCCTGAGAGGGAAAAAAGAGAATAAAAAATTTTAATTATTATGGAGATAATTTATATTATGTGTATTAATGAACAACTTTTCATATTAAAAACTTCAGAACAATTTCAATTTCATGCACCTGAACCACTATAAAGTAGACCATAAATATGAAATGTAAACAGGTATTCATAAAAAATAAAAATCTGAAAAGTGCGGTATTTATTTGCATTCAGTCCCCTTTTCTCTGGTCGTCCTAAATAAAATACAGTGCAACCAATTGCCCTCACAAAAAAACCTAATAATAAAATTATGTCATTTTTTTAAGTGTTAGAGGTAAACACTCTAACACTTAAAAAGGTGACCGACTCACCTTCCAGCAAAATAGTGACCTTAAACATATAACCAGAGCTAAAACCGAATGGTATACATTGGACCTAAGTCCAATTAAGATTCTGCAACAAGATATAAAATCTGGTGCACAGAGACATTCAATCTAACTAAGCCTGGGATATTTATTTTGCAAAGTTTGTGTAAGTACAGTTTGTACAAAATGCATAAATACAAGGGGCACTATTGCTTTTATCAAGCTCAAATGTTTGACTTACCTCTTCTACATTTAAGCCAGACTTTGCGCTAGTTTCTAAGAACTTCACTCCATAATCAATAGCCAGCTGAGGGAGATTAAATAAAAGTATTTATTTCAAAATTGCATTTGCTTTCAAGAAATGTTTTTAGTGTTGGTGAATAATGGAGACTCACTTTTTCACCCCGGTCTTTCGACACTTGTCTCCTGTCAGTCATGTCACATTTGTTACCCAAGATCATTTTCTCCACATCAGAGGAGGCATGCTAAAAATATTGAAATGGATCATTTAAAGAAATAGATTGTTGAGAGTAAAAACAAAGGTAATGCACAAGAATTTTGACAATTCTTAATCAGCCTTTAGAAAAAAAAATATTTTACATTGTTATGTAAGGTGAGGTTACCTCTTCAATGTTTCTAATCCAGTTTTTTATGTTGTCAAAGGACTTCTCGTTGCTGATGTCATAGACTAACATAATACCCTACAGATGAGAAAAACTTCTGAAGTTTCTGAACCCTGTAATGAAAATGCATGGTAGATTCACAGTGAACAGACTGAAAACCTACCATTGCTCCTCTGTAGTAAGCTGTGGTGATGGTGCGAAACCTCTCCTGTCCCGCAGTGTCCCTGAGAACATCAATTAAAAAAACAAAACAAGATATGGCTACATTCATACAGTTAGTCTTTTTTCCCCTTCAGGTTTAAACTCTCAAAAGGTTCAGTTACCAAATCTGGAGTTTAACTCGTTTCCCATCCAATTCTATGGTTCTGATCTTGAAGTCAATCCCTGTGTTGAAGCAAACAAATGGGCTTAGAAAAAGAATCCAGGATTCCTACATATTTTTCATGTCAAAATGCTGTATTTTTCAATCAATCAAGTACATTGGCGTAGCACATTTGAGAAAAAAGGCAGTTCAAAGTGCTTTACATAATTAAAACACAAGCATAAGAAGTCAGAAAAGCTACATACAACAATTGAGAAACCAGTGACAAACATTACATTTTGATGAGACAGATACCCAGATGCACAGTTGGTTGTTTGGTTGGACGGACGGACGGATGGATGGATGTTGGATGGTGCAAATTACTATGGGTGAGGAGAGCTTTGACCTTCTTAACTAAGGCTTTGACCTCCCTAAATTAGGTTAAAAATACAAGGTTGGAGAGTATAAAATGCTTAGCGATTCCATGTTACTTGTATTATTATACAATTACATTAGGTGTGTTGAAATAAGTTTAAAATACTCTTGTAATAACCAACTCTCCCCTAAAATGAAGCACATCTCCAAACCTTGTTTACTGTTTTTCAAAACGTGATTGGCAGCAAGACATGAATTTGTGTAATGATGAATTCACATTTAGCTTTTTCACCTCAGAGTTTCTTAAGTATAGTTTGTAAAGAGTTTCAAGAGGGAATACCATGATTTTTCTATGCAAAGTGAAGTTAGTTCACAATTTGTAGCTATTGATTGGCTGCTGAAAGAACTGACTAGAATTTAAATCAATTGCCAACTTCAATTTTATGTTTTCCATCTGGAAAGAGTGGTGAATTGATGGTCTAACAGCTGGAATCCATGCCAGGTTTAGTTTATTAATGTAGGATAAAGTCTGAGGAAAAAAAAAAAAATTCCAAATGTGTATTTTTATACATATAATCAAACTTGAAATATATGTATTGAACCTAATTGATGGACTTAAGCTTACAGGAAAGAATCATTACCATTTTCCTCTCACGTCCATTGTCTGGTTTTAAAACCCTCACAGATCATTAACACAAAGCAGGTCTCCGTGATATGCATTAAAGGTGCTATTTTACGAAAGTTACTACAGCCAGAGTCTTGTCGAAGGCTCATTAAACCATTTTTAAGTTTAAAATGTGTATTTTTTTTTTCCCTTGAGGCGTCCTCGGGATACTCACCTATTGTGGATATGAAGGTGGTGTTGAAGGAGTCCTCGCTGAATCTGAACAGCAGACATGTCTTACCGACGCCGCTGTCTCCGATAAGCAACAGTTTGAAGAGGTAGTCGTACGTTTTCGCCATTTTAAAAAATAATAGAGTCCAGTGTTTAGGTCTTTACAAAATGCCGCTAGGAGCAGGCGGAGTCCGCCTGGGTGGATATCCTCAGCAGTCGGCTGCCGAATCGGGGTGGACTGGCTGCACAGCAAAACCGGTACCGGAGGTGTTGACGTAATTGATTTCGCTTTGCTTTGTGGGATATGAAGTTTCAAACAAAACGGCGACTTAAAGGGATACGAAGGTGGAAATAGTCGCACCTGAGATGAGAGGGGGCAGATTTACTATTTGTTTTGCTGCAGATTACAGTCTGACACGTTAACACGTATTTCTATACGTTTTGTTTGTCAAAAAGCAAAATATAAATTTTCACAAGTAGATACTTTACAGTGCAAAGTGTCACTGGTATAATAAGCTAGAAATCAGTGGTGATTGGTTTCAAGCTGGCACTACATCTCATTGACACTTCTCTACATTCTATCTAGCTATATACAGGAAACTGAACCTTGGGTTGCTTTTAGAGCTCTGACTTTGCAAGTACAACAAGAACACACAAGAACAGTATTTTAAAAAGCTATAAGCAATTAAAATTTTAGCTATTGTGACTGATTCTCACAATACTGATCTTAAAATGAATTTCTGTTAGTTATTCCAAGAGACTGAAACTGACTGGTCCAAGAGGAGCCAACACCAAATACTTCTACCGTCTCAAAACCATATCAGTGCAAGTGCTATATTATTGAGCTTTAAATTAAAATCATGTTTTTATTGGGCACCTATTTACAGAGGTCCATTATTATTTTCATTACAAATGGAGTCCAGAGGTGGGTTTGCCATCAATGGTCTTCCTGTGTGAAACATGTTTTCGAATGCAACATGTTCAAACTAATTAGTTATTAATATTATCTATTTAATATCAATGTAAAGCACAGAATAAAATTATTAAGTTAAGCGAGACGTGTGATATCATTAGTTTCTTCTTTCTGGCAGTTACTACATTCTAATTGTTTTGCACATAGGTAGTGTACCCTGACTTTCCCAACCTTATTTTTTCTGTAAACAACTGCAAATGAGACAAAACGTTAAATCTTTATAAGGTTTTTGAGTCTGGAGTTGTTTTAATAGAAATTAACTTTGGTCTTGTGCTGCAGCTGCTTTGCTCAGGATTCCAACCTTTAGGGAGACATTGGGTTTTAAATATTTTAGTCTGATTAAAAATAAATAAGTAAAGCATCTTCCTTGAGTAACATTCATTTAAAAAGGCTTTTTAGACAATTCATTGGTTATTATACTTTAGACTGGACTTGGATTAAGGTTTCCTTCACCTTCACTTATTTTTTGTCCTGAAAGGTTTGTCCTTCAGGCCATCTGCTTATCAGAAACAAACTAGGAAAGAATACAATGTGCAAACTAGTGGTGTGATGACATGCATGTTGAAACTTGTTTGTAAAATATAAGAAATTAAAAACGACTTCCAGATGAAGATCCCTATACTTTTATTAAATGACCCCAAATGTGTCACGGTTGACGTTACCTTCACAGAAAGCATACGAATCATCCTTAAAGCCTCTGAAAACAAAGAATGAGTGAAGAATTGATAATACATACAAACAAGTGAAAGAAAAACAATTCTTAAAATACAGAAACAGTGACAAGAAAATACAATTTGTAAAACAGACCACTTCCTCAGTTACATGTTGGTGTCAAACGAACATATAAAAATCAAAAATTGGCAGCTGTGTTGTTTTCAAGTTGTCCTTTTCTTTTAAGTCCGTACTTTGAAAGTAAAGTGAATCAAACCTTTTCAAAACCAAGAACTGGAATCTAGATTACAATCACTGTGTCTGACATTGCACTCCGCCTCTAGGACCCTCTTCTTCCTCTTCATAGGCTTCTCTGTGGTAGCGTTTCTGTTGTGAACTGAGATCAACCTCACAGAGGTCCACCTCCTCCATGTCATCTGTTATCATCACATCCTCTCTGGGAGGAAGCAGTCTTTCCAGCTGGAACATGAGATGCTCTGGGAGCCAGTGGTTTTCTGGGAACTCCACCTGAAAGCAGAAAATGTGATCAGCCAGTTGCTTCATACGCCACAAAAGTTCTACTTAAAATTTGTGTCGGTTTTGTAAAATGCATTAAGAAACTCACCTGGAACTGAATGATGAGCATTCCTCTTTCATAGGGATCCCGGTAGATAGGCATGCCCTCATTTTGAACACATTTGATGTCATTGTGCTTGATGACTTCTCCTGAAAGAGAACAAAAAGTGAATACATCTATAAACCCAACAGCAGCAAAGCAGGTAAAGATAGCTGGTCAACCAAAAGAAATGCTGTACCTGGCATTGTGCTGATGATGAGTGATCTGTTGTCTAATGTCCGGACGGTCTTTCTGAAACCACACAGGGCCTCTACAAGTTTGATGTCCATCTTCATTACCAGATCATCTCCTTGCCTCTGGAAAAGCGGGTGCTCCTTCTGATCCAGGACAATGACAACATCTCCAGGTTCTAGTCCCGGTTCCTGGTCACCCTCTCCGTGAAATGTAATTTTCTGGCCATCTTTCATACCTGGAACAATTAAAATCAAGGTTTTATCCAAGTTCCTAGTCTAAATTATATTGGATTACTTTACCCTTGCATATTTCAAGTCATAATAACTTGCCTTTGTCAATGTGAACTTCAAGAATTTTCTTCTTGCGCTCCAGTTTGTGTCCGTTGCAGTTCTTACAGCGGTCCTTTGCGTTAAACTTCTCCCCCTGTCCCTGGCAATCGTGACACATGCTCTGGGTCTGCTGAATCATGCCCGGCCCAATCTGTTGCACTCTGATTTGTACTCCTCTGCCTTTGCAAGTCGAACACTTCTCCAAAGCTCCTTTTTTACCACCATAACCTTTAAAATGAAACCAAGACACATTTATTTTCTGTCTTGAGAAACAGTTTTGGGACTTTTTAAAAAGTATCCTAAAAAAGGTCTAACACTTACCGTCACATTTTTCACAAATTACATTCTTCTGAAGTCCAAGCTTCCTAGTAGAACCATTGTACATTTCTTCTAGTGTGACCCCAAGCTGGTGAACAACATTTTTTCCTTCAAGGAAAAAATTTAAATGCAATTTAAAATCTAAATATTCAAAGTGCATCACATCCAAGTTGGAGTTCTTAGACTTCGTAATTTTATCCCACCTCTTCTCTCTCTCTGCATTCGACCTCCACCTCCAAAGAACATGTCAAACACATCCATTGGCGAAGCCCCAGAGTTCATGCCTCCCTCTTTAATAGCTTGTTCCCCTCCTTGGTCATATAGGTCCCTCTTCTTTGGATCAGACAGCACCTCGTAGGCATGAGAGATGAGCTTGAACTGAAAAACAAAAGAGAAAGCTTTAAGTGACTTTAATCTTGCAGTTATACATGTTACACATACTTTTTTTTTCTCTGCTAGAGAAAGACAGCTGATTCTTCTTTAATACTGGATTTTATAACAGCATTTATATTTCTATCAGTTAAACTATGGAGGTGGTTTTGATAAATTAGTGTGCTACCTGATCAGCCTTCCCGTCAAAAAACCAGCTCTTTATTTATACTTAAAATATCAGGAGTTGAACACAGTGGTTTTGATATGACATTGTGTTTAATTTGCCTTTTATAAGAGGTTTCTCTAAATCCACCACAGTGTTCTGTTATTTAAAGTTTTCTAGCACACTGTCCCACATCAATTTGTAACCATCACCATTTATTAAAGATAATCTGGAGACTGAGGAAAATCCCCTCAAAACTTCTTTCAATTAAGTCATTTGTGGTTTTATATCACAAGTTTATTTTTTTGTTGTTGTTTGTTTTTTATAGATTTCTATTTAGACTGGGAAACAGAAATTACCCCAGGATTTTAGCTTTTAAAAAACTGCAGCTGTTTAAAAAGCAATTCCTGAGACCTAATTTAAATTAAAAAAACAAACCCATAAATGGATTAAAAAGTCATGTGCTACAATGTGTGTACTTCAGAACTGTTCGCTCTTCCACTCTGGTCTAATCTCCCCCAGTGTTAACACAGAAGCAGAACTTTCTGGATGCTTCCAGAAAGTTCCTTCTGTCTCGTCTCTCAACAAGGAGGTTTAAAAACGGAAAGCAACGGTCCAGTAACTGAACATTTGCACGCATTAGAGCAATCTCTGCATTTATCGCTTACCTTTTCGCCTTCATTGGGATTCTTGTCCGGGTGATATTTCAGTGCTAGTTTTCTGTAGGCTTTTTTAATTTCGTCCGTCGAGGCTTTTGGGCTGACCCCCAACAGATCGTAGTAACCAGTTTCGTGTACCATGGTGACTACTGTGAAAATAAATAAATAAAACAGCTTCTATTTAATTCCGTTGTATTACCCGGCTCGGAATAAAAATGTCAAAAGAAAATTGAACAAGTTGTGAATGTGTCCTCTAATAAAGATGATATTTAAAATAGAATTTCCTCTTTCAGTTTTAATACACAAAAATGAACTAACCAGACTGCATATTAAACTTAACGTTAAAATTTGGTTAGATGATACTAAAAACAGCAGTTTACTCTTACCACTGAGCTTGATTAAACTTCCTTAATGTACCCGCTACACAGCTTTATAAAGATCAGTGAAAAAATAAAGCTATCCCACTTACTTGCTGTATTTTCTTGATCTCACCCTGACGAAGAGCTGTTTAACTGACACTAGGCGAAGAGGACACGGCTCCTTTTTATAGTCGAACCCTGTGCAGAAGTTTCTGGAGAGCTCCGAGCAGCGGCACCCGGATGTGTCGTAGACTTACGTAGAGTCTAGAAAATACCAGAACGCAAAAAAAAAAAAAAAAAAAAAAAAAGATGGCGCGCGAGGGGGGTGGCGCTCTCAAACCGGCTTCTCGAATGGCTTGACCTAATTTCTGTCTTCAAATACGGGGCAATAGGTGAAGGTCTTTCAAAGAATATTATGCAACGCCGCTCTGACAGAGGGGAATAGGAGGATAGTGTTGCTGTTAAATGAAGATAAATTCAGCAACAAACAGTTAAATAGAACTGTTTTAGAGAGGTTTTAAGGTTATTTGTCTTCAAGCTTCAAATCAGTCTCGCAAACTCATCATTGTAACACAGACAATGCTGATTTCCTCAGTAATATAATCAAAACAGTCAGACATATTGCTGCTGTTATTTTCTCCAAATATATTGCTTCTTAAGATGAGACATCACTTTTTACATTGTTGTAAAAGTACTCAAGTTTACTTCTAGACCTTTTTTTTCTTTCTGGAACCTTTGCACTTATTTTAAAAGTATTCGCCTCATGCTGCAATAAATAGCAAAAAAAATAATAATTACTGCATTTAGTGCATTGGAAATGTTTCTCAAAATTACCACTCTGCCAGATTTAGATTTCAAGAAATCTGTTAGATGTACCCACATGTTTTTATTGCTGGAATTATTATGTTTTGGAGTGGCCCAGTCCTTACTTAAATCTGACCGACAGAGAATATGTGGAGGGAACTAAAACTGATGATGGCAAGGAGGCCTTGCTACCTCTGGGATTATCTGCACTCAGTGGAAACATTGAAAATTAGATGGATATGCTGAAATAAAAACAAAGATTAGATGGACACTAAAATTATTTGCTAAGTACGTATGCAGATTGGACTGAAACGGCATGGATGTATAAAAAGAAGAAATTTCACTAGCACCCATTTATTTTTTTACAAATCAAAGGCACAGTCAATAGCACAGTTGGTAACACATTTTTGCCTTGCAGCTAGAAGGTCCTGGGTTTGAATCCAGGTCTGGGGTCTTTTTGCATGGAGTTTGCATGTTCTCCCTGAGTATGTGTGGGTTCAGACTCTCCGGCTCTTCCCCCTCCCCCCAAACAATCTAAAAATATCACTATTAGGTTAACAGGTCTCTCTAAATAGCTCCCAGGTATGAGTGTGTGAGCATCATTATTTGTCCAATGTCTTTAAGTTGCCCTGTGATGGACTGGTGACCTTTCCAGGATGTACACTGCCTATTGCCCAGCGATTGGCATCTGCAGCTCTTCAAGGGTAAGTGGATATACACAATAAATGGACAACAAATAGAAATAAAATTTTAGTTAACAATCCTCTGTCATTAAAACACCTGAACAAGCAGGATAGTCACTGCTTCAAAGTATAAGACAGTAATCCTATAGTGAGGACATGTTTATTTGCTCTGTTACACTGGGAGTCCTGCTGGAACATCAGAAGGTACAAAATGTTCCCTGAATACTGTTAACCAACTTCTGCCACTCAGACAGATGGTATCTGAGATATGCAGGTGTAACTAAAGTGACTCGGCTGGTTAGCTTACACTTGAGCGAAGTACTGATGTCCTTGGAAAAAATGCAAATAGCAAAGACAGCTGTTGGAGCTACTACAAGATTATTTTCAACTCTTGACTGGTTAAATGAAAGCAATAAAAACAATTTTCTGTTTGATAAGCAAGAATCAGCTTGATCCTTGCAGCTCACTGCATGTTGCCAATCCCTGCTAAAAATGAGCTGAAGTAAAAGTTAACTCGGACGCTAGGGTCAGTGCTGAAATTATAAATAAAACCAGACTAAGCTTTTTGCAGACATCTGCATAATTTTCCTTTTGTGGAAAGGACTGTATTTTTCAGATTTAACCTATGTGTATCGGACATAAATCCAACAGTGCTTCAAGCATGTAATAATTTATATCAAAGTTGCAAAGAATAGGAACCAGCATGCATTGCTGGCAGAAATGAATGGGAAAAGTGGAAATGTGTTTTTGCAAAAGTGCAAAAGCTTTTTAAAGCGGCCACAGAGAGTTTCTTCTCAATTGGATACATTATGACAAAGTAGAGGTCCGGAGTTCACTGAATTAACAATCTGATTTGCATCAAGCTTATGTATGGAGCTCTTCATGACTGTGAAGTTTAGCTGCTAGCACTCCTTGGGGGTTATTTTAAGTTACCTTCTCAAATGTCTTCACATGATTCCTGTCTGTATCAAAAGGGCAGTGGGTGAAGAGCAAAGTGCAAAATAGTTTAAGGTGAACAGAGAGCAAATTTTGGAGAGAGCTATAATCAAACAGACATATTTTAATGTAAATACTGTTTATTAACATTGTAAGACAATATAAGAACTTAGAACCCAGTATTCAAAATGTTTTAGGAAATCTGATGAAAAAAAGACACTCCGGCTAGTTCGTATTTGAGGCCTTAATCATTCAAATGTTTTTTTTTTTTATTCTAAAGAGACATTTTCTTCAAGTCTGTCAAAATGGTCTCGAACTTCCTATCTTTGTATTCATACTTTCATAAGACATTTTCAAACAAGTGTAATTTTTAACCATTCGTTTAAGACCTAGAACATTCAAGACCTAATGTTGTAGTTAAACATGTAATTAATTCAATTCAACTTTATTTAAATTGCATTTTTCAAACAAGAACATAAATAACTCAAAGAGCTGAACAAAGGAAGGGACACAAAGATAAAAATTGACAATATGAAATGTTTTTAGATTATTAGTCTGAGTAATTTGTCCATATTTGTAATGAAACTCAAACAACAAGCTATTACACAACTATTCCACTTTTACATCCAGTGTTATGTTTCTAAAAATATTACAAATTGTGTAATTTCAGTGCTTATTCTGAATTTAATCAAACTCTCATTTTCCTTAACGAATGTAACCCTAAAATTAGAACATTTTAGTTATTTTCCCTTTTTTGTACACACACAAAAAAATGCATTTAAATATTAGAAAAGTTTAGATTGGATATATAAAAATTTTGTCAGATGACTTTAATAGCAAGCTAGACAGAAATAAAAACAGGTTAAAGTTTCACATTTCTGTTGGACTGTGCTCTGCATATTCAATTTGGAATTACAACACCTAGTGGTTTAAAAATATACCATGTGCAAAATGATGAGATTTTGTGCATAAGGAAGCCTTTTGTTCCCACTAGTATCAAGTGCCTACTGTCTGAGCGCCATAATGGAAGACTTACGACCTGTTTATCATGACTGTCCCGCTTATTTTAAAGTGAGTTTTAAACACATTAAAGATTAATGTACAGTCATCCTCAAAAATCTTATTTAGCATGTTCTTCATGAGGTGGTGAAATCAATTCTTTGTAAGGTGCTGCAATCTAAACATTTAAGTTCATAAGCACCAGAATTTTAAATACATGTTCTGGGTGAAAGTTTTAACATGAAGTCATACAGTGCAACGTGATTTTATACTGACACGTTATGAGAAGCCTCACAAGCTCCTTTTACTCCAGGTCCCGAACTCTTTGACAAATTTCTTTTGTGAACTCTGAGCACTTGGCCTTTCCTCCCAAGTCTTTGGTTAGAACCTTGAAGAAAATTATGAAAAACTTTAGGAGGAGCATCACATTATTAATACACTCACAGCAAGTTGTCTTTCAAAGTGAATTACCGTTTTGTCCTGAATGGTGTTAAAGCAAGCAGTTTCAATTTTCTGGGCGTGCTTATGTAAGCCCATGTGGCGCAGCATCATGATGGCACTGAGCAGCAGGGCAGTGGGGTTCGCAAGATCTTTTCCTGCAATATCTGGAGCAGTTCCATGAACCTGGCAGAAGGAAAGAAAAAAAACAGTCAACTGCCATGGTTGATGTAATTGAAAATAAAAAAAAAATGGAAGCAAATCTTACTGTCCTAAATTTAGTTCAGCAGTTGGATTTTTTTTCTAATTATCTGACTTTAATTATGTTAGATAAAAATATGTGTAATAAAATATAAAGCAACGTACCGACTCAAATATGGCCACCCCCTGGGCACCAATGTTTCCACTTGGCGTCACTCCCAAACCTCCGATTAATCCAGCACAGAGATCACTGCAACGAGTAGAAAAAACAACACATGTAAATGTGTTTTTGTTATATTCTGATAAGGTTTACTTTTTGTCACTTGTAATTATTTTTCATTTATTATTTCTGATTAAGTCAACAAATATCACCAAATTTTCTGACCGGATCCTCAAGTTTTAATTTTTTCTGATTTGTAAAACTTTAAAGGAAGAACTTATCATGTAATTACCTCAAGATGTCTCCATACAAATTTGGCATCACCAGGACATCAAACTGCGAGGGATCCTGGACCATCTGTAGGAGTATTTTGACAATGTTGCCTCTAATTGCAGATATCAAGAGTGCCACGGAAATACACATGGATTGTATGGGAATCAAATGTTGCAAGTTGTTCTGACACATGCAAAATAAGTATCCTTTAACCATTTCCTTGTAGTAAAACGATGTATCACTTATTTATCTTATTTCAACAAAGTTCTTGCAGTCCTCGTCTCTATTTGAAGTTTGCATTATCCATTACATTTATGTGACACATAGAGTTATTACTCCCTCTTGTGGTAATACGTTGCAATTTGTTTGGCCTATGTAGAGCCCTTTTAGTCATCTTCTGTTGACTAAAAAGGGCTCTACATAGGCTGGTTATCAATGTCTAGCAAAGTTGTAATTTCAGAACCACAAAAACGTCTTCATCATGCCGTGTTTAGTTTTAATATCTTTTAATAAGATACAAGAGACACTGCTGGAGTGACTGGGATTTTTGCACTCTGGATGGAACATCCTCCCCTCATCATGCTGCTAGGCACTGCAGGTCAGCTGGCTGAAAGGCTATATTTTATAATTTATTTAAAAGGAGTTAAAGAGTGCCACCTGTTGTTGTATGTTTTAAAACTATAGCAAAAAGACTAATATTCTCCACAATAAGCATATTTAAAGGATAGCTTCTGGTATTCATTAAATACTTTTAATACCATTGTCAGCAATGTTAGAAATATCTATTACTTTTCTGTTTTAAATTAAATCAATTAGATATTGAAAAATTGTTGCTATAAATATTCTGTAACACTATACACAATGAGTATCTAATACCAGCTAAGGCTTAAATAAAACAAGAAAAACTAACTTGATTCATAATAGAAATTGCTGGAACTTACATTAAGGCACACAGTATCCAAGTACATCTCTGTGAATTTTATATCTTTGTGCTTCTCTGCAGCCTCTCTGCACTTTCGCAGGAAAAGTCCATCTGACATTCGCCTGAAAAGATGAGCAAACATTGGACAGTCATTTAGCATTTTTAGCATAACAATCTTTGATGGCATCTGTAGAGAAAAGTAGCATACATGATATTAGCCTTGTGAACAGCGGTAACGCTGGTCCTCTGATTGTTTTTTGCATATTCAAAAGCATACTCTGCAATGCGCTGGCTGGCTTGCTCCGTGATAAGCTTAATACTCTGCACAACTCCATCAACAATCTGAAAGTAGAGGTGCATCATTAAAAATGAACATGACTAACGCCTAATGAAACTTAATAGTAAATTATTGTAAGTAAAGATAACAGTGAGTTGTGTTGTTTTGATATTAAAAGTAATGAAATAAAATAGCTCTAATCAAAAAAGTGGTTTAAGAGTTTTACCACATGTTCAATCCCACTATATTCTCCCTCAGTGTTTTCTCTGATGGTAACCAGGTTCACATCAGTATAAGGCGTGTCATAACCCTCAAGGGAGACGCAAGGGCGCACATTAGCATAGAGGTCAAACGTCTTTCTCAGAAGCAGATTCATGGAGGGATGACCTGCAGCTATTGGTGTTTTCAAAGGACCTGCAGATCGAAATAGTGGAAAATATTCCCCAAATAAACGTATTATTTAAAATTCACTTTCAACAAATGTGTGAAACTGAATAAAGTAGAGCAATCTTTTTTTATGTGGGAAAATGTGTAGAAAACTCGGCTTTGTTGCAAAAAGGGTCTAGATTACCTTTCAGACCGAGTTTTGTTTTATCCATAGATTCCTTGGCATCAGAAGGGATCATCCACTTTCCACCTGGTCCCTGTATAGCTGTCACGTTTCTTTCTTCCCACTCGACGGGAACCTAGTTTAGAAGATATGCAAACAACAAGCACAACACTATTTTCTTAGATGATGCATATCACATAGCTTGAGCAGCATAAAAAAATACTATATTTCTCACAATGATCCTGTCTGTCAAAAATCAGTAGAAAAAAAAAAGTAAATAACCAACTTCAGCTACTTGAAATATCTTCATGACAGCCTCAGAGATCTCTGGACCGATGCCATCACCGGGGATTAATGTAACAGTTTTCATCTGCATGGAAAAAGAGTGACAAAGACCAAAATAAAAATTGTGTTCACCCATATGTATTAAACATTAAAACAAACAAACAAAAAGATTGTAGTACTCTAAAGTAAATTTGAAAAAAAAAAAAAAAAAAAAAGTAAATACCCCACGGATGAAACTCCTGGATTGTAGAAGCTCATTCTTCAAAGCAGCAACTCCACGTGATGCCTGCAAAGAGAACTTCAAGCAAAAAAATCCAAACAAAACAAGAAACCCCCTTCAATAATTCATGCTAATTATTGAAGGGGGTTATTATTTTCAGCAACCAAAAAGAAAGCAACCGTCAGCAGCATCATCAAAAGAAAAAACAAAAACAGAAATCAAAACCAGGAATATTATGTGAAAGAATATCATTAACATCCCCAAAAAGACTTCCATAGTACTGCAGAATCAGTGCCTCTCTTTTGCTGTGATGACAGTATGGTTAAACAACTAGAGAATCAAACTCCAGCAAATACTTGTGCAAGACAAGGATGTTAATCCAGCCACACTCCAATTTAAGTGTGCCATGCTCCTTATTTGTTTATTGGTGTAGAAACTCACTGTCTTCTTTATTAGAGACAACTTTTTTCATACTTTGTTGGGTTATACTGGCCATCAAAACTCCTTCAATCCTTCATGGCAAAAATACAAGTGGACAGGAACATTCCTCTGATTTTTTAGCCCATATTGACTTGAGAACATCAAATATTGGCTGAAAATGTCAAGTCTCATCACATCCATAAGGTGTTATTTAACTAAGATGCAGTTACTGTGAACGCCGTTGGAGATTTTATTGACATGTTCAGAAGACAATTTGAGATAAATTGAGCTGAGACACATTCATGTCTCATTCTGAGCAGTACACATCTTCAAGGTTTTGTTTGTTGCAAATGCTGCCACATAAATGGTTTATTTGAAATGTGTGTTCCTACACAATTAAACAGGTGTATCTAATAAGTTGCCCAGTGAGTCTAAATGACTTCCAATTCAATGTGAGGATAAATATTTATTTTTAGTCTTCTGGCCGATAAAAAGAGAATTTACTTGACAGTAGTGTTCATGATATTATGACTAGATTATGATTTAATTGCTGCTAATATTCCTTGCAATTTGTTGGCGTCAACTCATTTTCAACATCACAATGAAACACTTTGTACTCTTTGTTTTGGCTTGAAATATTGCATGTTTACAGTTCTGTCGAGGAAGAGATGACACTCAGCAATTTGTTTTGGCCACCATAAACTAACTGCAAAAACCTCCATCTGATTGCTGTGATGAAGCTGCAACAGCAAGGACAGTTAGCAAGTGGACTAAACTTGCTTGCTGTGGTTTGATTTTGTCCTTGCCATTGATATAAAAACCAGACTTTGCTAGCAGATGAATAATCTGTAGACAGTAGACATGTGTTGCTATATGGTTTTAGGTCTAACAAGAAAATTATCTTCAATAGAAACAGCTCCCAAAATGATCTGCAGAAGAGCAGATGAACCATGTAGTCAGTGTAGCAGCTACCTAGGTAAAACTAGCAAGATTCTGTTTACTATAGTAACCATCAAGCTGTAGCTCATTTTCAATAAGTGTAATCATCCTCGTAGCTTTATCTTCCTTTTTCAGATTGAAAGCAGCTTTCAAAAATCTGACACGAAGCATAAAAGATTTAGTGAATTGCATAAGACAGTGAGGTAAATTTTATGGACGCATACCGTTGACCTCCACATGTTTCCTGCAATCGTGAGGTAGACGACGTCAAGCTCTGAGGAGCGGCGGCGGCACTTGACAAGCTGGAAAAGACGTAGCGCAAACTTCCGGTTTTCAAAATAAACATAATCTGCTAAAATACAAACCAATGACTGTACCTTTATAGTAGTTCAAATAATTACCTTCTTCAATAAGGAAAAGCAGTAAACTAAATGTCAACTTTTTTATTACAAATAAATATCAAAAATGACCAATACGTGTCTAACGTCTGTGTTAGGTTAGTTATAAGCATATTGGACAATCACCAGCAGGTGGCAGCATGGCATTATATGTGGGAATGCCTTATGACTTACAAAGACCATATTTGTTTTAACAAATTCATCACAATATACATATTTTGCTCTGATCGTAAAGTGGGTGATATAGGTATGCATCTTATCTGAATTTATTATAAATAAACTCAGAATTAAATACACATCGACAGGCTTATAAATAATGTATTTTCAGCAAGTTGGTTGCACAGAGAAACCCTATAAAAAAAACAAGTAAAAAGAGCCAACAATCAATCAGTCAATCTTTGCATATGCACAACAAAAATACACAATAGAGGACACAATTTACTCTTTAAATTAACCAGCAACATAAAATTAAGGACACCCTGTAAGCAAAGACCAATACAAATTCTAATGAGCAGCATAGCTATCAGCAATACTTCCAGCTACAGCATTGTACAAAATGCACACTGTGCAAGTTAAGACATCAATGAGCCAAACTGAGGGGCATCAGTATGGGTCAAGGTTTTCAAACTGCCTCCATATTTATTCTGTCAACCAATGCATAGGATGAATACAGTAACAGCGAAGTTCACACACTGCGGCATGGAGCACGTGTGTCAGGCAACGATATTTAAAAAGCATTTGGATATAGCATGGTTGTTTGAAAAAAGCTACAGTACATCTGTCATAGTACATCATTACAAAGCAAAAAAGGTGGCTGAAAGTTACATAAAAGGTTTGTACAAAATAGCCCAATTCAGATGGTGTATTGCTTTGGCTGCTTCTTCAAGCTCATTGATCTCTGAGTCTGGGAAATCACATGAGTGGCTCTGTTGTTCAAGAGTCTGCATTCATGAAGAACATCTAGAGTAAAAAAAAAGACAATTACATGGACAGGTGACATTAATTCATTAGAATGACACTGTGAAGTTAGCTCAATACTGTTATTTATTTTTAAAAGTGAAACTCAAAGGAGATTCATTATATACACAATTGTAAATATTTTTGGATGAGCTTTTGATACTCATTTAATCTACTCAGGAGCACTTGTAATATCAGCACAAATAATATAAAAAAAAACACAGTGAACCTCACCATTGAACTGTTTGTAGGCTTCTTCAATAATGGCATTGTTTGATCGCTTTATCTCCCAGTAACCATCTTCTACCCATGGCTTGCAATCAGTATGTTCAATGAGCTGCCCATTCTTGTATGAACCAGCTGATCATTTAGAGAAAAATTAACAATATTTTACAAAAACATTGCATTAAAAATACATTCATGTAAGACTGTTGTTGGTTATTGAATAGAAGTATATTTGCAGCAAACAAAAAAAACAAAAACAAATGACCTTTTATGGTGTCATCAATGTCTTTGCATAACTGGTACAATTCACTTCCTCGTCCAACAACTCTCTCTCCTGTAATTTAAAACAGATAATATAAGTATATTCAGCCAAATAAAGCAATGACTTCAGAACTAATAATACTGCCAAGATAAAGAATCACAGAAAAATAAATCTTACCATCCAGAACCTTGATGTTCGGGAACATCTCAAGTACAATAGCTCTGTACGATGCGCTCCTGCACACTGACAAAACCAAAGCAGCAACATACCAAACATTAATCACCATCTTTCATTTACTGGAATTGCAAATAAATTTCCCATAAATTACCTGGGTTACTGTAATTGTAAGTGTTGTCTCTCAGACGTATGTTTTCTAGCTTTTTCAGAGAAACAAGGCAATGTAGGCTCTCAGTGCTGTCAAAAAACAGTACATTAGAAGCAAGTAATTTTAAAAAAATGTCTAATTTAGCATAGACCTTAATTATTAAGTGACAAAATCTAAATATTATAATAAAAAAGTTTCAGCATTTATAAAATGAGTTGAAGTAAAAACTAGCTTATTTGTATACATTTTAAAACTAGAATAATGACAGAAAAACTTTATCCAATTTATAATTGCAGCTAGTGACATTAACCAGCAATTCAAATGAACAGCTTTGATTTATTTTTCTTTGATTTATTTTTATGGAATATTAAAATATCATTTTACAATACTATTAGCATGTAAATTTGTAACATACCTGGATATGACATTACCAGCTAAATTTAAAGTTTGTAAATTTTCACAACTACGAAGTGGCTCTGGGAAAACAACCAAAAACAGAGAACAAAAATAAATTTCACACAATGTAATTCTGGAAAAATAAATAAATAAATAAATAAATAAAGCTTGTTTGCCTTACCTATATTAGAGATTCTGTTAGAAGACAAATTAAGCACAGAAAGAAGACGAAGAGATGATAGAGGTCCTAGATTTGTGACACTGTTCCCAAATAGGTCCAGCCTCTCCAAATTTACACATTCCCCAATGCATCCAAGGTCATGTATACCTTCAAGACAAAAAGCACATTTTAATACTAACTGAGTGAACATAAACACTACATGCACTAATCCTTACCAAGAACTCTGAGTTTCAGAAAAAGAATGGATTCCAAATCAAATTCTCCTGTCCGTGACTTCAGCAGCACAGCGGTTATCTTCTCACACTCTGCATCTGAGGGAACCAGAGTGACAAGATCGTACAAAACAAAGCACATTCACTTTCTATTCTTAAATATGCAGTACAACTACAGATCCTATAATTGACTCAGCGATGCAAAAGAAAATGCTGGAAGCACTGTTTGTTCTGTTAACAGCAAGGGGAAAAGAAACTTTAAATAGAAGCAGCATATTATTTTTTTTTTTTCTGACAGCACACAGAGCATTTTACTGATAGCTCCAAAGGAGAGGGTCACAACAGACAGATGTGCTGATGTGCTCACTGTTGTGTAATATTATAATCCCACTAGCATGCATGAGTAACAGCTGAGGGAGTTATGTTTGCTTTACTGTGCTGAAGGCACTCTGAGTCCTACACATGAATTCTCCTCACTCATTGAACCTTAGATAACGAGGATGGTGTCTTTTTACATGTAAATACCAGTCCGTTATTTTATTTTTTGAATTTAGCTTACTGAATTGTAAACAAGAGGAAATAAAAGCATCAAAAAATATTGGTAAAAAAAAAAAAAAAAATAGGAGCACCAATTATGTCTTATCTTTGAGAAGAAATACATGAGAAATGTTAACTTTCTTTACGGTCACCGAGCAGCAACATTAAATAACGTTAGCTACATTTGTGCTAACAGTGAGCGTCGTTCCTATGGCAGCAGCTAGGAAAAATTATGATAATCATTCAAACATATAAAAAGAGAGCGGATGTGTAAAATAAAATAGTAGCAGAGCTCATGTTTATTTCTTTTCTTTTCTCTAGAGATGATGAAGCAACAGGAAGAATAACAAGCACAGACGCGTTGTTAGCTTATTTTTTTCCCCTCTGGACACAGTTAGCTTCAGTTAGCACAGGCTACTAGAGGCTAACACAGTAACGTAGCAACAAGCTATCAGTGAAACTTACCGTGCTCCTTTTCTCGCTTACAGTCCATGCTGGGCAACTTTGACAGTTAGAAATCAAACAAATGTCACAAAGGGTGACAATTAAAGCAGCGCAAATTAAGACAGGAATTATTTACGGAGCGTGAAATTATCATTTGTCCAGAGGTGGGATAAGGACACGCTCATTGGTGCTGTAATGACAGGCAGGTGGATTAGAGACGGACATCACACCAGCCTCTGCAGCTCAACGGGGGGAGAGTTTGCAGGGAAGCGATCATCTCTGAGTTAAAGAGCTGAAGATGAACTGATTTATTTTACTTCAGGTGCAACAGGTTTTTTTTTATAAAAATGATTTTTTTATTTTAAAAAATTATGTATATTTTTATATACATAGAATATTTTTTTTTCAGTATTTATAAAATAGTGTGATAGTTCAATAGAAGTTCTTATCTAAAGCACCTTCTTTGCTGTTACATCAACCTTGTTGGCAGCAGGTTCTAGTTCATGCTTACTTATTTATCTGCCTCTGGGTTGTCTGATTGGTTTGTCTGCATCCTGTTGGAAACACCACCTGGTGAAGCAGATCAGTTTGCGCTCAACAGGGTTTGCAGAAAAGTCCACTCCTCTGCCGCAACTGTGACAAGACTCCTGCTCTACTGTCTCTTTTCATTCATTTTCCGGTGAATGTTTGCTCTCATGGCAGGAATATCCTGAATGGACATCAACAACAATCTTTTTTAAGTTCTTGCAACAATACTTGGCTCAACTTGTGTGGAGACTTTGACTCCACCGACTCCCTAAATGCCTTTCTCTGAGAAAAGGTGGTGGGCGTTCTTTGCTTTGAATGTGTACAAGCAACAAATTACTTGATAAAGATGGGTAATAAACAAACAATATTCACAGATGAGCAACTTGATGCTTATCAGGTAAGATGAATGCATGCTTTTTTTGTATTATGATGGAGGACAGAGGAAAGTGATGCATAACGTCCTTATAAGAAATGTCCTTATCAATGCAATTGTCCCTGCTCTTTAGTCTTTTATGAACAAGATGACAATGAGAGAAAAATAACATTGAAAAAGTGAAGATTTATACTTCATTTTATTTGCTGTAATTTTTTTTTAAATGTTGGGCAATATCTATACCTGTTTATATCGTTTTATTTTTTTTTTGTTTGTTTTTCATATTGAAAACTGAGAATAGGAAATTGGTATCTAAAATTAATTACATTGTATTCTAAGCTTCTTGTTCACTGAAGAAATGATTTACAATGATCTGATTGACTTGACATTCAAATTAGACTTGACATTGAAGAATGGACACAACT